GGAGAGAAAAGGATAATATTTCACTTAATTCAATAATTTAAAAAAAAAAAGTAAAATAAAAAAGAATACAATCTTTAAATTTTATTAATTAAATAAATAGTTGAAATAAAATATTTTTATTTATTTATTTCTAAGAAATTTTAAAAAAATAAATGAATCAATGCAATTCATCATAATCCCTCCAAATAAAAGGGATTGAAAACGAAAAATAAGGGAGATTCTATCTCCCTTTATCTCATTCTCCTCTATTAAAATTGTTAAACTAAACCAAAGAAAAATGTCTCTTCCCTCACTTCCCTTTTCTTTCCCTCAACTTCTTTAATCCAAATAGACTGTAAATAAAAATAAGGTATAATATAAAAGAAGAAGAAGAAGGTAAAAGTGAAACATCTATTAATGGGAAAATTCATAATACCCTTATTTATTCTTAACAAAGAAATAAGTTTAATTCGTCTAACCAAACAGAGTCTATATACGTTTATAGATATACGTATTCATTAAGTATGAACCCTGCAAAGCTCTCTGCCTCTCTTTTTCACTCTCTTGCAGTCTGCGGTGCAGCGGTTTCTCTTTCTGTCGACTTTGTCCTTTGAGAAAACTGGGGTTTTCTCTGTACTTCCTCCTCCCTTAGAAACTCCGACGAGGTCTCTGAACAAGCTAGCGCAACCCCTTTTATTTCCACTTCAGCATCTGAATTCAGTTTTCCGTTTTTCCTTCTACTTTTTCGAAGCAAGGAAAGAGAAAAGGCTGCGGGAAGTGTTTTCGAAGTGTGCTATTTGTTCTTCAAAGACAAAGCAGGTTAACTATTCCGGCGAAGTATTAAAGGTCGGTTCTTCTAGTTGGGTTCATTGGGCCTAGGGTTTGTAGAGCTAGTTCAAGGGTGGCGTTTTGTCTTGTGGGGGAGAGAGTGCATTGGGACTTTTCGTGGACATTCCGAGCAAATTTTGGTAATTTTTCCTTTAGGGCAGAGGTGGTTTTGAACAGTGGCTTTGGTTCTGTTTGTTTCTCGCTTGAGCTGGAGCAGAAGAAGTCTCTGTGGGGGAAGAAACTGACCGGCAAAGTGACTTCTTCTTAGTGAATTTGATTTTCCTTTTTTTTGATTACGCATTAAGTTGGTAATTTTGAGGGGTTAAACTGTTGCATTTGTAGAATTGGAAAAGGTTGGGTTTTGGAGCTTAATTTTTGCAGTTGATGAGATACAAAGACTGCCCATATACTTAACATGGATATTGATACAGTAGACGAAGTAGCTTGCTTTGATCCTGAACTCTTGCAGCTTAATGAGGTGTCTCCATTTGCTCTTAAAACAAGCCCTCAACTAGTGGAGGAATTGTACTCTCAGTGGCTTTCCCTTCCAGATACAGCCCAACTGGTAACTTTTCCTATTTTCTGTTTATTGACAATTTATTTTTTTTCTTTTTATGGTTGAGAGGAGGTGGGGTAGGGTGGGAAGTGGCCCTCTTTTTTAGTGTTCATCACTTCATTTAAATTCTTGTTAGAACCGGTTGTGTGCTGTAAAGTAAGATACATATGAATGAGATGGCTTTAATGTGTGCTGTAATGGAGAGTCCTTTTATGTTTTTTTGGTAACTCCTTCTCTTCTCCTTGAGAGAGTGCTCCATTCTATGCTTAATATCTTTGAAACGGTTGACAACTGAACTAACTGATCCCACCTGTAGTGATTCAATCCCAAAGACGAAAAGTTTGTTTCTTTTATGACCGTGATATTAATGTACAACTAGGAACTTATGTGAAAATATGGTATCATGGTATATATATGGTTACCGTTCACATTGCTTTTGAGATAATAATATAATAGGTTGAAGCATTCAAGATTTAGAAGTTATTCTTTGGAACACACGTTTAACATGAGGATCTGTTGTCTTCAATAAAGTCAATTTTTCCTTCATTTATACATCAAGTTTCCACCTTACTTTATTGATCCTTTGTGGCCAAGTTCTTTAACCCCTTTTTTGTCTTCCTTTTTTTGATGTGAGATCAGGTGAAATCTTTGATAAATGATGCAAAGGTAGGGAATGCCATTCATGTCTTTGGGAACTTGTCAAATCCAAATGCTGCTGGGAGCAATTCACTGCCTTCCATGTTTCCTGCTGGCAATGCACCTCCACTTTCACCCAGAAGTTCATCTAGTTCTCCTCGCACATCAAAGCAAAGGAATAGCCCGTCGTCTCTAGGTTCTCCATTAAAATTTGTTATTGAACCAGTAGAAGAAGTGATACCTCAGGTTTGATTTCCGTTTGACTATATTGTAAGATATGTCATAATTGATGTTGGAGATGCTGATTTTACTAGGTGCTGGATGCTGAAAATCAGCTTATTTAAGGTTTTCATCTGACAATTGCTTGCAGTTTTATTTTCAAAATGGCCGGCCACCACCAAGAGATCTGAAAGAACACTGTCTTTCTAGTATTAATCATCTCTTTAATAATCCTCTGAATGGATTGCAAATAGACGGTGAGATGCCAATTTGATCTATGTATCTCCCTTTTATGATTTTGAGATGCATTTCTTCACAAAGTTAAACTTTCATCTCTCTGGGGCCCTTTTTTTTTTTTGCTAGTGGAGATGAAAACCCTCTGTGAAACTTCAATGGATTTAAAGTTAATGTTTTCCTTTGGTTACCCAGAGTTCAAATCAGTGACAAAGGATGTTTGCAAGCTACCATCTTTCCTTTCCTCTGCACTATTTAGAAAGATAGACATTGACTGCACTGGGATAGTAACAAGGTATGTACAGTATTTCTTTTCTGGGTGGACAGAAGAAGTTGCCGTAGAGAGGAACAAGTTTGTTGCTCAAATTTTGTTCAAGTAGAACATTTTATTGGTTACATTAGGCCCTGTTAGATAAGTGCTTCTCTCATGTGTTTTCTTTTTTTTCTTTTTTTCTTTTTTTTTTGATAAATAAGGCTTCTCTCATGTGTGCTTAACTGTCTCTTCTGTTTTAGGGATGCCTTCATTAAGTTTTGGGTTGATAACAACATGCTGGCAATGGATGTAGCCACTCAAGCATTTAAAATTATTAAGCAGTCAGACCGCAACTATCTTACTCAGGTTTGTCTGGTTATCCTTTGTTTTCTCTTGCAGTGTTCTGAAATTATCCTTTTAGAGATACCTTGTTCTGAATTAATGATTTCTGTTGAGTGTCTGGCAATGGACTTCATTGCTTTTTAATTCTCCCCTGAAGTCTTTTTTTGGGGCCGGAATGCAGGTTGACTTCAAACCTGTTCTTCAAGAACTTTTGGCAACTCATCCGGGATTAGAATTCCTACGAGGAACTCCTGAGTTTCAAGAAAGATATGGTATGTATTAATTAACTAGAGGTTGCTTTATTTTTCTTTTTAAGGCTTTGACTGGTTGTAAACACATTGAAGCTTGTTTCTTTTTCCAATACATTTATACTTTCATGGATCTGTCAGACTGTCATCTAGGTTTGTTGAATTTCTGGTGCAATGGTTTTAGGGGACAAGATAGTTAACTATTGCAGCATAAAGAATTAATTAATTATTTTGGACAGGTTTATAAACATTTTTTTTCTCCAGTAGCATGCATCTTAAATTTCATCATAAAAGAAGAGCTTCTAGGCAGAAGGGAGTTAAGACTTTTTGGTGAAATATAGTATCCTGAGCATGGTTGCCACCTTTATGTGCGTCTTCTTGTTTGAATTGAAGCAAGAGTGTTAAGTTTAAGGGAAGAAAGAAAGGGGCTCAAGGAGGGAGAGAGAGATGAAGCTTGTTTGTTTGGGATAAAATTTATTTTTTTTATATTTGGTCTGCAGTATGATTAAATATTTGTAACACTTGATGTTACATTGCAATTAAATGTTTCATTAATATTATATAAATAGTCCAACACTTGATTGTAAATTGTGTGTAGTTAAACTGGAAGGAATGCTTTAGTGGTTGATGTATTAACAAAATGATTCCATGCATGCTATGGATGGTCTCATCCTAGTTTTTTTTTTTTTTTTTATCTCAAATCAGTTAGAAGTTCAATATTGTATCACTGATACCAGACAACATAAATTTCCTTGTTAATGTTCCAGCTGAAACTGTCATATACAGAATATTTTATTATATAAACAGATCAGGGAATGGCCGTCTTACCCTGAGGGAGCTGAAACGTGGAAATCTGATTACTGCAATGCAACAAGCAGATGAGGAAGACGACATTAACAAAGTTCTTAGGTTGGTGCCACAGGAATGCTTGACCATAAAGTCCTTAAGCTATCACTTTGAGTTTGAGAAATAATATAATCTTATGTTCCCATCTTTTCAATTACATCCGAAATTGTTACTTGTGTGAAGGGTTCTCCCTGATTGACCATGTAAACTAATGCTTTAACTGTATTTATCCTAGAATTGAAACTACTGAGCTCGGGATATAACATTGTTGCATCTGGATGATGTTTCGTTGTCATTTCAAAATAATCTATCTCTGTATCTCTCTTCTTTTTTTTTCTATTATTATTTATTTATTGGAATGGTCAGTAAAAGCACCAAGGCAATAAAGACAGTGAAGATCTTGGCTTTGTGGTGTGTCCTGTCAGTGATTTTTGAATGATCTAAATTTTGATTTGTCTTGCTCCCTAATTTCAGGTACTTCTCATATGAACATTTTTATGTTATATACTGTAAGTTCTGGGAGCTGGACACAGACCATGACTTCTACATTGACAAAGAGAGTCTTATGAAATATGGTAATTATGCCCTCACATACAGAATTGTTGACAGAATTTTTTCACAGGTTGGTTTTTCATACTATTTTATTGTTCAAATATATGAATTAGGTTTAGGCAAAAGGTGCAGAATCACCCCCAAAATTGTTGGGTTGAAGCATTTTTAAATCAACAATTTAACAGAGTGATGACAGCTGCTAATGTCAACAGTTAAATTTGGGCCAAAATCTTTGAATCACAATTTAAGGTGGCAAACTGTGTCAACAGTTTTTCCATGTGTGGAGTTGCTTCAACTCAATAATTTTGGGGGTGATTCTGCACCTTTTGCCTTAGGTTTAGGTTAGCTTCAATTTTTGAATATGATGATATTTTTTCTGCTATGTTTGACGTTTTAACTTAGTTATATAATTGCTTTGAATTCCCCACAGGTTCCAAGGAGGTTTTCCAGCAGAGTTGAAGGGATGATGAGTTATGAAGATTTTGTTTACTTCATGCTCGCTGAGGAGGACAAATCTTCTGAGCCGAGCCTGGAGTATTGGTATAGTTTATTCCTTTCTTATTATCATCTGGAAATCCACTTAATTTCGCTTGCTCTATGAAAAATTGGATGTTCCTACGCATTAGTTGCTGAAGTCTCTTAGTGCACGTTTGTTGCATTTATTTCTTAGTGTCTTGTGTTTTACCTAATTAAAAAATCTCTATAATTTTGTTCTGTTTATTGTGTTGAAATCAAGGTTTGGTTTGCAACAACCTGATCAATATCTTTACAGATTAACAGATAGAAATTCATAGAATTCATTTAGTTACTTTTTCATTTTAGAATTATAAACATATATGGGTAAAACTGCAAAAATTCAAGTATCATTTCCTTTTCTTTTCAGTAAAATCACCTAGAATGTTGGTTAGGATCTAGTCTGTCCCTAGAATAAATTCAAAATTATCCAATTGCTGGTTTGTGAAATTGTATGCATAATCACAGTGTGATTTTGAGCAATAATGTGCTGATGAATACTGCTGTGTACTATTCCAATTACTCAATAGTTGTTCAGTATTGAAAAATGGGAAAGATATTAGTACAATGAATGATAGATATGCTGTATGTATATTACTTTACACACATTATGAATCATTAATATGTCCTAGTATTGGCTTGGGTGTAAATTGCCGTTTTGCCAAAACTTGCCCTACTTTTCTTTGTGAAACTTATTTTCTTAAACATTATCTCTCTCTTTTTTCATTTTTCCTTGCATTGAGGCTTAGTACTTAGACTTTGCACTTCTGATGCTTTCCCATCTATGGAATTAAATACATCGGCTGTTTGGCTAAGCAATTTGTTACACAGGTTTAAGTGTATAGATTTGGATGGAAATGGAGTGCTTACGTCAACTGAATTGCAATTCTTTTATGAGGAGCAGCTACATCGGATGGAATGCATAGCCCTAGAACCTGTACTCTTTGAAGATATATTGTGTCAAATAGTTGACATGATTGCACCTGAGGTCAAAGCAACTTTCTTTTTGATGGATTATGTTCTTATTTTTCTTGTCAGATGTGATTTTACTTCCTGTTACCTATTTTATTTGCAGAGAGAAGATTATATCACTTTGCGTGATTTGAAAGGATGCAAACTTTCTGGAAATGTTTTCAATATCCTATTCAATCTCAACAAGTTCATGGCATTTGAAACTCGTGACCCATTTCTTATTCGCCAGGTTCGCTATTCCATGATTGTATCTGGGAACTGAATGTTGCTAGACTATTTCTCCCATATGATACTCCTCTTCTCTTTTTGGTGAAAGCAGGAGCACGAGGATCCAACATTAACAGAGTGGGATCGCTTTGCACACAGGGAATATGTCAGGCTTTCAATGGAAGAAGATGTTGAAGATGTATCAAATGGGAGTGCTGATGTTTGGGAAGAATCCCTCGAAGCTCCATTTTAGGTTTGTTGACTTGGGCTTAATGGAACGCTGGCCGATCAATTAAATTTTGATTGAAGACAGGTTAGGTGGATTCTCCTTTTTGGTAAATGTTAAGCGGATATGCTTCTTGGACAGAACTAATTGTGAGTTGCAACTTGAACGGTGGTATTCAAGCAGCCATAATCTTTGAATGTGAATATCGTGTCTTCCAGGCAAATCCCCTGGATGTTCAGCAATTACGTTCAGTTGTGCTCCAAAATGTGACTAATCTGGGTTGGGATCATTTCCCAGGTATAGATGGCAGTTTTTTGCTTGGCTGTTAATGGCTTCCCAACTGCCCCTCTCATTTTTCCAGTTCTTGTACAATGGATACGGTGTTATTTGGTCTCTTACCAAATAGAGAAGGGGATAACACACAAGAAAAGTAGGAATTCAGTTTAGAATTTTTACTCTAGTTTGATGGTGGTCAGAAGACAAATTCATTCTTCCTTGATCACATTATGGAACCAAATTTTATATGTTCTTGTAAATGCACGTTACTTTTTGCTACGAACCTACTCATATCATCATGCTGTCTGTGATCCTCTTCTTCTTCCTTTTTCGTTCAAACTAGGCAATTAAGCTACAAATATCGAAGCTGTGAAATGGACAGCCGTTTCTCCGACCCCATCCCATAAAATTAAGCTACTAATATTTGTAGTAGCTTGCTTCGATAATTGTTTGCCTTGGAAAAATGAATGGGGTAAAAAATACAGATTTCACATCAATGAATGTATATGAGCGTATAGTTATAAAAGCTTCATGATTTCAGTAGCAACTTCTAACTATGGCAATGATTGTGCCAAAATATAATGTCATAGGTTTCAATTCTATGTATTTATGAAATTATCAACTACATAAATTGTTTAGTGATAATCACATTTTTATAGAAGTAGGGGCTTAAGTTTGAATTATATGACATATAGGGAGAGTGGATAAATATGAGAGGTAATTTCTTCATATTATGTAATTTAAGATAAAAAAATTTTTAAAAAAATGAATCTATGAAATCAAAACAACTCAGTCCTAATATAAAAAAATATTTTGATAACAAAAGTTACAAGTTTGTAACAAGATTGTAAATTTAAGTCAAAAGAGAGTAGTCTAGGTTACATTCTTCTTTTTGTGTTTAGCAAGCTCCTGCCGTACGAGTCCATCCCTTTGTAATGCACAATTATAGTATAATACACATCAGATTTGTAAAGCTATAATGGTATGCCAAAGTTCTAAGGTGATGCATGCACAAGAACCTTCATCCAATGCAAATTAACCAGGGAAAAAAATGAGGTGTGTAAAGAGTCCAATACCAACCCCTCTCCATTCTTTCCTTCTCTTTTAATGTCTCAAATGAGAAAAGAACAGCAACTCTCTTGACCATATAGAAGCTAAGTGTAACGCCCCAATCCCACGTTGGCGGATCCATATTTCACAAAGTTAACTGGTCTCTTTTACATCATCACCTGAATTAGACAGCAAGCACAGCAAGTCTGCACTAATCTAGAGGTCAACATAATCTAAGACTAGGGATAAACACTACAACCATATTGGATACAACCAGGCAAGTGAATTTGGGTATATGTCATTTATACACATGCATATAGATTGTAGTATATAAGGTGGATGAAGGTTTAACTTCATGCATGTGGACAGAGATGGGTAATGAGAACCAGTAAGTACAAACAAGGAAGGACCGGTAAGAACCAGGTAAATCAAAAGTAGGAAGTAATGGAAACTCCAAATTTGAGTTATTGACTTATTGCCCACCTTAATCTTTGCTAACATGATCTTGAACCTATCAACTTGTGCTTTGTAACATAAATAATTATATATTGAGGTTCTTGATACAGCAATTTAATCATTTTGGAATTTAATCTCTGTGCTTGTGTGGAAAATAAAATTTTCTCAAAAATTCCAATGCATTTGCAAGGGTATTTCAATATATTACTTTATGTAGCCCAAAGGGATTTTTTTTTTTTTTTTTAGTTTTTTAACACTTTTCTTATTTGATTTTATGTCAGGATAACTTTCATTAGTGTAATTTACGCAATTACTTATGCTAGTCAATAATTTGTTGTATAATTAGACCTCAATCTACACTTTACGTGGTTTGTCTGTATATTTTAAAATTTATTATTAATAATTTTTTTTATTAATTATAAATTTTTATAATAATAATTAGATGTAAATATATTTTAAATATTCTTTTTAGTAATTAATAATTTTATACGTATTCATTTATTAACAAAATATGAATTGTAGATATAAAAGAAGACTTAAGCATGCAAATCTAATCAAATTTACATTTTTAAAAAAAGATATTTTTTATAAAAAAAATAATTCATATATTTTCTAATCCAATACAACTGCCAACATTTATTGAAAAATTATTATTTTTAAATTTAAATTTGAAGTAGGAAAACTTTAAACAATAGATTTTAATGGCTTAAGTGTTCTCACTTTTAATTCAAAAATAAAAATAATAATTTTTTAATAAATATATTATGAAGTATGTGAAATTGAAGAATGTGCCAATTATTGTCACTCATAATTTGTTACTATTCCAATAAATTATGAAAATTTATTAAACATTTCTATCTATTTTTTCTCTCTATATTAATGACTTGTTTGGTATCATTCTTTCTTTTCTTTATCATCTTCTCCTTAGTTCCTGTCTCTATCTATTTACATATTATATTTTCTCAATTTCTTACATTAAAACGGTATCTCTTACCGCACCCACAGCACTTGTTACATTGGATTGAGTGCAGATATACCAAAGGTAAGACCTTGGTTTTAATTTTTGTAAACTCAATCCCACTTCCCTATGTTCAAAAAAACTGTATCTCTTTCCATATTAATATTAATATTTAATTATTTATTAATAATTTCTCTATATTAATTTCAATAATTTACTTTTTATTGTTATTTTATCTTTCTTATCTTTCCTTTTACATTATTCTTGGTTAGTCATTTATTTCATTTTATTAATTTTCATTGAGACTCTTATCTCTTAACTTTTCTCTTAACATTTTATATTATTATGTTTGTTTCTCTACCTTACATATTATTCTTTCTTTTATTATCTATACTCAAATATCTATCATTATTTATTAGACATTTCTTGTTTGTTTATATTAAAAATGTTTTAGGTCAAAAATAAATAGCAAAATTCCTTAACATTATATATTTAGTATTTTTTCACTAACATTTACATCTCAAAGGTCAACATGCCCCTTGTACTCCTTTAAAAAGTTGTTTTTAACTATTACCATCATAATGATCATTTTGGTTCTCATTTGGTTTTATTTTTCTTTTTTTGATAAAAGAAATTTGATATTAACAGCTCAACAAAAATTTAACAAAGTTTCAATACAAAATTTACTAAATTTCTTTATGGTTCTTGATAGGTTGAATCTTTAAATATATAATATGATACAAATTAACCTTGATTTAATATTATTTCCATTATTTGTGTAGGATAGTACTTAACTTTTAAAAATTACAAATTTAGAACGAAATCACAATATTTCATGAAGTCAAATGTGTTGAAATTGAGGACCAAATTGTAAAATTCTGAAACCTAAGAACCAAAGTGCAAAAATCTTGAAGATTGAGACCAACATCGTCATTTTATCATTAAGAAAAGAGACGTGGAAATTAGTGGTGATGATCGGCCCCCATCTTCTCTCTCTCTTTTTCTTTTACTTAATTTTATAGATATGAGAAAAATGCATATAAATCTTAATTTTTTTAAAAAAATTATAAATTTAACATTAAATTATTTTATTTTATTTAATTAAAATTCAATTTAAAGTTTAAAATTTTATTTTATTAAATATTAATATTTAAATTTAAAAATTGATTAGATTTCTGAATTTTGAATTGAGATTTTAATTTTTAAATATAAGTTAGAACTCTAATTTTTTTTAAAAGTCAAGAATAATATGCACTAATTTCTATAAATATTTACTTGATTTTATAAATAGAAAAAAATTGTAACCCTAATACTATACAATTGGAAAGTATATTAAAAAAGGATCAAGTTAAATTATATAATAAAAAAGCATGAATAAATTGATAAGAAATCAAATTCTATTAAAAATGAATTGCAGTATTTAATATATGAGAAAATATTTTGCAGGTTGTTTTGCTAAATCTTTTTAGGACATATTTAAAATCTCATCTTAAAATTTATATTTTTTAAAAACTAACCATTAAATTAAAAATTTTATTTATATAAATCATATATGTGAATTTTTATATTGATCTAGTAGATCTAACAACTTTATTAACTATAAGAAATTTAACACCCTCAAACATATGTTAGTAAATAAACTTGTTTTTTATTAGAGGGTTATAAGTATTAGATCAATATGAAAATTGATGTGAATGATTTGTATGAATAAAATTTTTAATTCAATGGTCGGTTTTTGAAAATATTAGTTAGAAAGTTGATTTTTAGACCGGTCTTCCAAAAAAATTTTAAGAGAATAACTTGTCCTATACTATTCTTTTAATATATATTATATTTGAACTACTATTTATTAGATAAATTTAAAAAATAAAAAAACACACACACACACACAATTGGTTATTTATTGAGAAAAATTTTTTATTGATGATTTTTTAAAAGCCAATGAGTATTTATTTATGAATTTTAAAGAGAATTTTGTTATTACAATAGTTTTACATATAATTAAAATTTGTATTTTTCCAAACTAATTATTAAACTTAATGTCTATATAGACTATGTATGCCAAATTTTGAGGTGGTCTCATTTAAAATAGTACACATCCAATTAATTTAAAATTTGATGTACATTATCCATAGGAGTAAAGCTATTAAATCCTACAATAAATTTGAAAAAATATAAATTATTAACTAATGTAAGTGATGGTGTAAGTTATACTAATATATGTTGATAGTAACGTTTTGAATTTTTCATAAAACTTAATGAATAGATCATCCTTTGTATATGTCTTGAATTAAAAAAACGAAAACAATTTCATTCAAGTATTTTAATAGAGAAAAAAAAAGGTATTTTTCACTACTAATTGTATTTATTTTTTGTGCAATTTAAATATTAAATTACGAAAACATCATTAATAAACATATAAAACAATTTTATTAAAGATACATTGATAATTTCAATAACAAATACAAACATTTTTCTGTTTTATGGAACAAATTGTAAGAACATCTCTTGCTTTCCTAGTCCAAGTAAATATACTTGGACAAATATCATTTTATGTCCACGATGTTTTATGCAATTTGTAAATTGGATGGTTATAGGTTAAATATCAATTTTAGACTCTTAATTTTAGAGTTTTATACATTTTTTTGTCTCTCAATTTTTTTATGTAGTTTTTTAGTCCTTTAACTATAAAAAACTATTTTTTTAATCTTTTTGTTAATTAATCAGTTAGATCTATTTAAATAAATATTTTTTTTTAATCTTTCAACTTATAATATATGCACATTTTTTATTTTTCAACTTAAAAATTTAAGAACTAAAAATGTATATATTTAAATAAACTTAAGAAATTGATTGATAGAAGAATTAACAAAAATATATTTTTCATAGTTGAGGGTCAAAAAAGTACATAAAAAAATTAAGGATGAAAACTTAAAAAATTATAAAGTTGAGAGACCAAAATTGAAATTAACCATGCCTATAATGATAAAATCTTGCAATTGATTCTTGATCTTGCCGATCGAAACGCTACGTTTTAGCCTGGATAAATAAATAAAACACAATAACAAAACAAACCGTAAAACCCTAGACTCAAACAACAAAACCCACCGCAACAGCCATTGACACTTCTACTCCAACCAGCAATGGCAGAAATCCAACCCCAACAGCAGACGACTTTGATCTCCAAAACCTTTCCAATTAAGCCGAAGCTCAAAGCAAAACCCAGGACCCAATCCCAGACGCCGGAATCTAAGTACTGGTCTTCTTTCAAGTTAACACAAATCACCAACCTCATATCCTCGATCCCCTCCGTCTCGTTTTCTCCTTCTGCTCCTCACGTCTTTGCCGCCGCCCACTCGGCCTCACTGTCCTTCTACTCTCCTCTTTCCCTCTCGGACCCTGATGTTGCCGCCTCTTCCTCTATCTCCTTCTCGGATGTGGTTTCTTCTCTCTCCTTCCGTCACGACGGACTACTCCTGGCCGCCGCCAATCTTTCCGGTTTAGTTCAGGTATTCGATGTTAAAACTCGCACCCCACTTCGTCGTCTCCGGTCCCACACCCGTCCTGTTCATTTTGTACGCTACCCTGTTCTTGATAAGCTCCATTTGGTGTCTGGCGGTGATGATGCAATCGTTAAGTACTGGGATGTGGCCGGGGAAAGTGTGGTTCTGGATTTGGTGGGTCATAAGGATTATGTGAGGTGCGGTGATTGTAGCCCTGTTAGTGGTGATATGTTTGTTACGGGTTCTTATGATCATACGGTGAAGGTTTGGGATGTGAGAGTGGAGAATTCAAGGTCTGTTTTGGAGGTGAACCATGGCAAGCCTGTGGAGGATGTGATTTATCTGCCTTCTGGTGGGTTGATTGCAACTGCTGGAGGCAATTCTGTGAAGATTTGGGATTTAATTGGAGGAGGGAGGATGGTGTATTGTATGGAGAGTCACAACAAGACTGTTACTTCAATTTGTGTGGGAAGAGTTGGAAGAGAAAGTGGAGATGAGTCAATGCAGTATAGGATTCTGAGTGTAGGTTTAGATGGGTATATGAAGGTTTTTGATTATGCCAAAATGAAAGTAACACACTCCAAGAGATTTCCAGCTCCCCTTATGTCAGTTGCTTTCTCGCTGGATTGTATGACTAGGGTGATTGGAGCAGCAAATGGGACTATCTTTGCTGGGAGAAGAAAGAAGAAGGAAGAGACTGTGGAGAATGAAGTTAGGAATATTTTGGGATTTAGTAGCATTGCAGAGCCAGAGAGGAGGGTTTTGAAGCCTACATACTTTAGGTATTTCCAAAGAGGACAGAGTGAAAAGCCATCGGAGGGCGATTACTTAGTGATGAAAACAAAGAAGGTGAAACTGGCAGAGCATGATAAGTTGTTGAAGAAGTTTAGGCATAGGGAGGCATTGGTATCAGCATTGGGTGGGAAGAATCCAGAGAATGTGGTTGCAGTGATGGAAGAATTGGTTGCAAGGAAGAAGTTAAAGAAAAGTGTTGCAAATTTGGACCATGAGGAACTTGGTTTGCTGTTAATGTTCTTGCAAAAGCATGCGACAATGCCTAGGTACTCTAGTTTGCTAATGAGTTTGACAGAGAAGGTAATTGAGATGAGGGCAGACGATATTAGAGCTTCAGATACCTTGAAGGGGCAAATAAGAAATCTAAAAAGATCGATTAATGAGGAAATAAGGATACAGCAATCGCTGCAAGAGATACAGGGTATAATCGCTCCTTTGCTAAGGATCACTGGAAGGAGATAAATTTATTTGGTGTCATAACAGTTTCAGGTTCTTCTAGTGACATGCTTACCTGCTTTAGATTTTTTTTTTTTTCCCCAAATTTTGTTTCCTTTGATATGGCTTGAGGATTCTTCTTCATCAGACCTGCTCTGCAGTTTTGTTATATTAGAATTTCATGTTTTCAATGTATTGTTTTACAGTCTTGTTCCATCAACTACCAAATATCTATTCTTAGAAATTTAATTCAATGTATTGCTCTTTAAATTCAATCATGATTTTCAGGTAGTGTAAGATGTTTTATGTATTGCTCTGCTCTGCAATTTTGTTATACCACTTCTGCTCCTTCCTCTCGCTATTCTTTGTATCCATATCCATTCATCTTTCCACTGGCCTGGGTATGTACAATAAGCAATTTCTCAAGGATGACGGACTATACTTCTTTAGAGAATGCACAAAAGAAGAACAAATGCTCCCTAGATTATCCAAATGACTAACTTGCATACCTTAATGATAGCAAATCCTTTAGCTTGAGTTTTATGCAAAATGGTCAACCAGCCTAATTTAAATTCTTGTTAGAACCAGTTGTGTGCTGTTTTATTTGCAGAGAGAAGATTATGTGACATTGCGTGATTTGAAAGGATGCAAACTTTCTGGAAATGTTTTCAATATCCTATTCAATCTCAACAAGTTCATGGCATTTGAAACTTGTGACCCATTTCTTATTCGCCAGGTTAGCTATTCCATGATTGTATCAAGGAACTGAATGTTGCTAGACTATGTCTCCCATATAACACTCTTTTGCTCTTTTTGGTGAAAGCAGGAGCATGATGATCCAACATTAGCAGAGTGGGATTGCCTTGCACACAGCAAGTTTATCAGGCTTTCAAAGGAAGAAGATGTTGAAGATGTATTGAATGGAGTGCTGATGTTTGGGAAGAATCCCCCGAAGCTCCATTTTAAGTTTGTTGACTTGGCTTAATGGAACTTTAGCCAATCAATTAGATTTCAATTGAAGTCTGGTTTGGTGGATATTGTTTTTAGTAAATGTTAGGCGGATATACTCTTTGGACAGAACTGATCGTGAGTTGCAACCTGAACAGTGGTATTCAAGCAGCCATATCCCTTGAATGTGAATATCTTGTCTTTCAGGATATCTTGTCTTTTAGGTAACCCCCTATGTTATGCAATTACATTCGGTTGCGCTCCGAAAAGCAACTAATCTGAGTTGGGATCATTTCCCAGACGTTCCATAGTCTGCCAGAGGGTTATAGATGGTAGTCTTCTTTTCTCGGCTGTTAATGGCTTCCCAACTGCACCTCTCATTTTTTAGTTCCTGTACAATGGATATGGTATCATTTGGTCTCTTACCAAATAGGGAAGGGGAGAAGACATGTGAAAAGTAGGAATTCAGTTTACCAGGTGGTTGCCCAAAAAATCCGGATTTGATGAATTCAATTCTTGACATGATTCTTTCACTCGATAATGTTTTCATCAATGTTTTAAAACTTGACTTAGTAATGGGCTTGTTTTAGGGTCTGTTTGGTTTAACTTGTTCAGTTTTTGTTTTTTTAGTACTGTTTATGAGTGATAAATTTAAATTTTTATTTGATGAAAAATTTAAAAATTACTTTTTAAAAATAGGAGAAAATGAGTAAAAAGTGAGTAAAAATGAAGTTTATAAAAAGTTTTGATTTGAAGTTTTGAGATTTTACGGTTTAAGATCTTTTTAAGGTTAAAAAAAAGCTTAAAAATATAAGTTTTTTTAAAAAAAATTTTAACTTATAAAATATGAAGTGTCAAAAAACTGAAACGGTAGGAAACTAATCCAAACATGCCTTTAGTCACCAAGTCTCAACTAATCTGTTGAACTAGTTAAACTAGCTATTTAGTTGACTTAATAAATATTATTAAATTTATTTTATTAATCAAAATTATTTTTACTTTAATTATTTTATTTTTAAAATTGATTGAAACCATTTTTGCATTCATTGATTATAGTAATTATTAACTTTTAAGACTTTATTTTTAAATTTTATTGATTTCAAATTAATTTTATTTACTAAATTTATTAAAATAAATAATGTATTTTTTATTTATTAGTCATTTAAAGCATTGATATCATATTAATTATAAGAAATACATTATAATTTGGTTCTTTTAAAATTGATTCTGGTCAGGCTTATATTATAAATTTAGGGTGTGTTTGGTATTATTGTGAAGTGCTATAATTGTAACTATAGTTGTGCTGTGTTGTACTGTAATTGTGATTGAAAATTATTTTAGTGTTTGGTTATTTATTTTTTAAAAGTATTATAGATAAAATATGATAAATTTTATTAATTATTAATTAAAATTTAAAAAATATTGTAAAATATATAATTATTAAAATATATAATATTTACTTTTTCTAATAATTTAAGTTTTTTAAACTTGTTATCATTATTAAAATATTATAAATTATGATATAATTAAATATTACGAAATTGGGTTTTATTTAATGCATAATTTTATAATTATTTAAATATTAGATGTTTTTTTATAAAAATCACAATCATAAAACTCTAAAATAAAATAAGGTTTCTATATTTATATATAAAATAATTGTGGGTTTATTATAACTTTCTGTAATTAAAAAAAAAAAACAGTTTGAAAAAAAAAAAAAAAATAGCAAACACATATACCTTTAAAAGCGATATATGGCTATAATAAAAAACCCACCAATCACAATCCCAAATACACCCTCACTCATTTTAAAAGACCGATTCTAGTCAAACCAATTGAAGGTTCGGTTTGAGTTTCAAAACAGTGGTTTGATTGAATAGGGAAATGGAGGAAAAATAATTGATATGATCCCCCCAGGATTATTTTTCCTTATTGGGCATGATTTGTTGCTTGGGTGTCATTGAATCTATTTTGTTTGGTTGCCTACGCAAATTTTACTTGGTAAAAAAATTTATCAGGAAACATTTTGACCATATATTTATATCTAAGAAAGCAACTTTTTTGTGTTTGGTAGCTTGTAAAATTTGTCTAATATTTTTAAATTTCTATGTTTAGTTACTTGAAAGAAACACTGAAACGTTTGAATTAAAAAATTATCATTAATATATTTCTACTAAACTAAGATATGATTGAAAAATGTGTATTCTCCACATTCCAAAGAATACGTATTCTTTAATCATCTCTTAATTTATTAAAATTTATAATATTAAGGAATACATATTTTTAGCTTTAAAAACTTTTCAATT